GATATAGTGAGTTGGTGAATGATTGGTTCATCAATTAGAGGATGGAAGGATGGTATAAAGTGTAGTGAGTGAATGAAAATTAGCTGATGGATAGAGTATGGAAGGATTGGTGCATGGGTAGTGGTTGGGATTTTGGTTGGCTGATGAATAAGATGATGGAAGGATGAATGACGGTATAGTGCGTGAATAAGTGAATGTCTGATGGATGCAAGGATAAAGGGATGGATGAAGATGTAGTGAGTTGTGAACAACTGGAAAATGGGTGAGTTCATGGAAGGCTTGAAGGATGCATGAATATGTAGTGAGTAGGTAAGTAGTTGGCTGATGGATAGAGGATCAAAGGATGGATGAAGATTTAGGAAGTGGGTTTTAGTTGGCTGATGAATGAGATGAGGAAAGGATGTATGAAGGTGTAGTGAATGAATGAAAGATTGGTGGATGAATGAGAAGATAAAGGGATGTATATAGATGTGAGTTGTCAGTATATGACTAATGGATGAGAGGATTGAAGGATAGAAGGATGGATGAAAATGTAGTGATTGAGTGAGTGGTTGGCTGATTGAGAGGATGGAGGGATGATGAAGATGTAATGAGTGATGAAAATGTAGTGATTGAGTGAGTGGTTGGCTGATTGATGAGAGGATGGAGGGATGATGAAGATGTAATGAGTGGGTTTTTGGTAAGCTCATAGATAAGACAGTGGAAAGATAGATGAAGGTGTAGTGAATGACTGAATGATTGGATTATGGATGAGAATATGGATTATGATGTAGGGAATGGTCAGTGATTGGCTAATGGATGAGAAGATGTAAGGATGGAAGGATAGATGAAGATGTGAATGAGTGGGTGAGTGTTTGGCTGATGAATGAGAGGATGGAAGGAGAGATGAATATGTAGTGAGTGGTCAGTGTATTGCTAATGATGAGAGGATGGAAGGATAATAAGATGGATGAAGATGTTGTAAGTGGGTGAATGGTAGGATGATGGATGAGAGGATGGTAGGGTGGATGACTGTATAGTGAGTAAATAAATGATTGGCTGATGGATGAGAGGCTGGAAGAAAGGATAAAGATGTAGTGAGTGGGTTTTTGTTTGACAGATGGATAAGACAGTATAAGGATGGATGAAGGTATAGTGAGTGATTGAGTGATTGGCTAGTGGATGAGAGGATGGAAGGATGGGTGAAGCTATGAATGGGGAGGTGAGTGGTTGATTGATAGATGAGAGATGGAAGTGATGAAGATGTAGTGAGTGGTCAGTGTATTGCTAATAGATGTGAGGATGGAAGGATAGTAGGATGGCTTAAGATGTAGTAAGTGAGTGAGTAGTTGGCTGATGGATGACATGGATGGAAGGATGGATGAATATGTGAGTGAATGAGTGATTGGCTGATGGATGAGAGGATGGAGGGATGAATGAAGATGTAGTAAGTGGTCAGTGATTGGCTAATGGATGAGAGGATGGTAGGGTGGATGAAGATGTGAATCAGTGGGTGGCTGATGGATAAGAGTATGGAAGGAGCAATGAAGATGTAGTGATTGGGTTAGTGGTTGGCTAATGTATAAAAAGATGGAAGGATGGATGAAATATTAGTGAGTGAAAAAGTTTTAGTGAGTGAACAAGTGGTTGGCTAATGGATGAGAGGATAGAAAGATGTATGAGAAGATGGAAAGATGGATGAAGGTATAGTGAGTGATTGAGTGATTGGCTAGTGGATGAGAGGATGGAAGGATGGGTGAAGCTATGAATGGGGAGGTGAGTGGTTGATTGATAGATGAGAGATGGAAGTGATGAAGATGTAGTGAGTGGTCAGTGTATTGCTAATAGATGTGAGGATGGAAGGATAGTAGGATGGCTTAAGATGTAGTAAGTGAGTGAGTAGTTGGCTGATGGATGACATGGATGGAAGGATGGATGAATATGTGAGTGAATGAGTGATTGGCTGATGGATGAGAGGATGGAGGGATGAATGAAGATGTAGTAAGTGGTCAGTGATTGGCTAATGGATGAGAGGATGGTAGGGTGGATGAAGATGTGAATCAGTGGGTGAGTGGTTGGCTGATGGATAAGAGTATGGAAGGAGCAATGAAGAAGTAGTGATTGGGTTAGTGGTTGGCTAATGTATGAAAAGATGGAAGGATGGATGAAATATTAGTGAGTGAAAAAGTTTTAGTGAGTGAACAAGTGGTTGGCTAATGGATGAGAGGATAGAAAGATGTATGAGAAGATGGAAAGATGGATGAAGGTATAGTGAGTGATGAATGATTGGCTGATTGATGAATAAAAGGAAGGATGTTGAAGGTGTAATGTGGTCAGTGATTGGCTAGTGGATGAGATAATCAAATGTTGATGAAGTTGTGAGTGAGTGGGTAAGTGATTGGCCTATCAATTAGAGAATGGATGAATGTGCTGTGAATGGTCATTGATTGGCTAATGGAAGAGAAGATGGCAGGATGGATGGATGGTTGTAGATGTAGTGAGTTGGTGAGTGGGTGGCTGGATGAGAGGATGGAAGGATGGATTAATGTGTAGTGAGTGATTGAATGATTGGCTGATGGATGAGAGGATGAAGGGATGAATGAAAGTGTAATGAGTTGTCAGTGATATTCTTGGGAGGTTGGCGATGATTTCCAACTTAATTTGATCCATCCATCCATCCATCCTTGAATTTGTCCTACATTTCTTAACATGGCGTTTTGGCCTCTCCCTTTTCTGAAAGCAAACCTTTTCCTTTGGGTGTGGTGTGTAGTGCCATGGGCTGTGGTCATATAGCAAACACCCATATTTATAGCTTCTTCCTCCAGAGTCACTGCTGTAAGCAAGTCCCAGCTGAATCTCATCTGCCACTGTCACCCATATGGCTTCCTTCTCTAAGGTGCTTTCCCATGCATCACACACAGTGATGAATCCAGGACTGGGGTCTGACAGGGCCCCTGCCCACCAGCGGAGACATCCTCACCAGGCCACCCTGTCTGGTGGTGCCTGGTCTCTTCCATAACCTTTGCCTTCCACCTTCCAGGTTCCTCCACCAGATGGCTGTGGTTGTAACCCATTCCTTCATCCCTTAATTCCTTCCTTCATTCACTCCCAGTCAACACACAATTTTAAAAATCAGCTAGTGCTAGACTAGGGCCAGCTCACAAGGATTCATTCTGACATCTCCTTTTGGAAGGAGAGCTAAGCAAGTTTGCAAGGGGCTGTGTTTGTGTGTCAGTCATCAGGTGAGACCCTTATTCAGCTGCCACTTCCAAGTCTGAGTTCTGTTGAAAGTTTGATTATCTTTTCCAACTTTGTTCCTTACAAAACGAGGTTGATTAGTAATCAGTAAACTGTGTTCCCTGCGTGCTCAGAAATCACAGCCCATATTTTCAAGAGGCTCGAGTGAGAGCCAGGGGGCCTGAGTTGAAGGGCTGGTTCCAGCCGTGAGCAGGCTTTCAAGTCATTAGCGCACCTTGGTCTGGCGCCACAGAGGAGATCTTAGAGCCATTCCTGCCCCATTTGAGATTAGTTAATGCTCAGCTCTATTTAGAGAAAATTGGGGGAGATGATTGCTCTTGTGGATGACAAGGACCATGCCCTGTGAGGGGTCTGTACGGAACAACTCATCAGTGAAGCAGGGTGTCCAAGCCACATGGCGCTTGGCAAACCCTAGATGCAGCTCCCAGCATCCATGCAGGTCCCAGACGTGGTGAGACCCCCCCTTTAGCCTATTGTTCCCAGCATGGGACAAGGTTTGGGCCTTGGGGACACTATTGAGAATTCAGCATTTTATTTATTGCATTGAAGAGTAGGTAGACTGGGCAAAGCCAGAACCTTGGAGCTAGACAAATGTGTGGTGTTTAAACTTAAGGTGACTGCTTGGGTCTATCTTCTGCGGGGGAACCTAGCACCCACCTTGCAGGGGGCTCTGGAGGTCTTGCCCATTTAGTTTCTGGTCCTGATGTTACTATTTGCCAGTGTAGTGGTCTTTGGGCAGGTTACTTAAACCACCCCGAGTCTTGGCATTCCCACCTGTAGATTGGGTGCATCATGATTGTGTCCTCCAGGGGATGCTGGTAGACACCGAGAAAGGTGGCTGTGCCTGGCTGCACCCCGTGTACTGGTTCCCAGGAATCAAGATCTGGGTTTGAGCTGCCCCAGCACCTTTTTACACATGTGTGTTTGTGGGTGTGTGGGTGGGAGCTATGTGAGCTTGCTTACCTGTAACCTGGAACTAGTCACATACCTGACATGGTTTTTGCTTCAGTGAGGTTATTTATATGAAAATAAATGCTTTGTTACCTGGCACACAGAAGCCCTCGCCCTTCTGGGGGCTTTGAGGCTGGCCATGCTCTGCAGTCTGTGGGCGCTGGTCACAGAGCCCTGTGCTCCCTGGCCTCTGGCCCAGGGGACTGTGGGACAGAGTGGAGGTGTGGGAGAGGCACCTGGCCAACTCTGGGGAGACAGCGAGGGAGGGAAAGGTTTGCTTTTGCATACAGAGATTTAACAGGTTTGGGGAAGAGAGGCCAAAATGGGAAGATCAGGGAGAATTCCCAGAAACCCCCAGAGTAGGACGAGGCTGATATTTTAGAAAACACTCAGGTTTCATTGGTAATGGGTTGGAGAGCTGGGGTGGTCTTTGGAAAGGCTAGGAGTTTCAGATTTTGAGTTAGTGAGGTGAGCACTGTGAGAGGTGGCTGGTCGGGGAGGGCGCCATGACCAGGGTTGTGCTTCTGGAAGTCTGTGCGAGTGGAAGAGACCCAGGTCAATGTGCAGGACACCAGAGGCTGAAGGGAACTAAGTAGAAAGGCCGGAGCTGGTGGCTGGGTGCTCCCCTCCACCCCATGGCAGCGGGGAGCCAGGGCCTTTCTTGCGATGTCCAGGTTCTCAGGCACTCGTCTTGTAAGCAGAGGGCGTTCCTGTCCTCTCTGCACACCTGACCTGCCTGTCTGCATGAGAACGCTTGTTAGCCAGTGCGACCGGGAGTGGGTGGCCTTCATCTGCACCTGTGTCTCTCTCAGCCTCCACAGCCACGGGGACGCCCTGCTCACATTCCCTCGGGACAGGCTGGACCCAAAGACTCTGGACCCGGCTGCCCCCTGCGAGGAGGGGTGTGTCCTCCTCCTCAGCCTCCCCTGCGGTAGCCGCCTACCCTTTGCGGATGGACTTCATTGAGCTGAGGGTCAGACACGTGGGCTTGACGCCTGCCCACACCTTACGCACCCTGAGACTTAGGGGACTGGCTGTGCCTTCGCCATCCGCATCTGTGAAAGGGGCTCTGCACCTACCTCACAGGGTTGTTGTGAGGAGCCTGTGATGCGGTCTGAAAGTGCCCAACCTGGGGCTTGGCACATCCTATTGTGCTCTCAATAAATATCTTTTTTTTGCCTTAACAAACACAGTAATGGATGTGCTACTAATGTAAGGACGGGTAAGTGTTAAATGTGCCTCTCACTGGGGCTTCTCTCTTTGGGCAGTGTGATGGGTGGGGAAGGGCAGGGGAGCCAGCTCCAGTCCCCGCCTGTCCCTTACCCATCTGGCACTCAAGGGTGATAAGATGTCCTGAAGCAGGGCTGGCCTGGTGGAGGTTCTGGGACTGACGTATATTTGGATGAGCTAACCTGGCTGGACCCCCTTCTTCTAATGGTCATAGGATGCCAGGTTTCTTTCCAGAAAGGAATATACAGAGATGGCAGAGGAAGTCTGAGTTGAGCTCACTGTCCTGGCTTCTGCAGCCTCAGAGGGGCTGCCCCCAGGGCTACGGTTCTTGTCCTCCTCACACATTGTGGTGGTGGGGGCCTCTGGTCAGGCAGTTATCATTTTAGAACTGATGGCAAGTGGATGGCCAAGCAGGTAGTCTCAAGCAGGTACAATCTGGCTGTGATCCTGAGTCAACACTCATTCCAGGAGAGTCCTGTATGTAATGGGTAAAGCTGCAGTCACTGATGAAGCTGAGTCATTAAGAATGAGGGACTCCTAGATGTTCCAGAGCTGAGGCTATAGCTCCAGCCTCCGTTGAAGCTCAGAGGTCCACGATGAGCGGCCTTCATGATGTTCCAGATCTGAGACCCCAGCTCCAGCCTCTGAAGAGTGGCCATCTTGATATTCCAGAACTGAAAACCCAGCTCAAGTCTCCAATGAAGCTCAGACATCCACGACCAGTGGCACTCATGATGTTCCAGATCTGAGACCCCATCTCCAGCCTCCGATGAAGCTCATACGTCAATGTTGAGTGGCCATTTTGATGTTCCAGAACTGAGACCTCAGCTCCAGCCTCTGATGAAGCGCAAATGTCCATGACAAGTGGCCATCTTGATGTTCTAGAACTGAGAACCCAGCTTCAGAGTCTGATGAAGCCCAAATGTCCCTGATGAGTGGCCTCTTGATGCTCCAGAACTGAGACCTCAGCTCTAGCCTCTGATGAAGCTTAGCTATCTATGACGAGTGGCCCTCCTGATGTTCCAGACCTGAGAACCCAGCTCCAGCCTCCGATGAAGCTCAGATGTCCATAATGAAGGGTCCTCCTGATGTTCCAGATGTGAAACCCCAGGTCCAGCCTCTTATGGAGCTCAGATGTCCACAATGAGTGGCCCTCATGATGTTTAAGATCTGAGAACCCAGCTCCAGTCTCCGATGAAGCTCAAATGTCCATGATGAGTGGCCACCTTCATGTTTCAGAACTGAGAACCCAGCTAAGTCTCCAGTGAAGCTCAGATGTCCATGATGAAGGGTCCACTTGATGCTCCAGAACTGAGACCATAGCTCCAGCCTGTGATGAAGCTCAAATGTCCATGATGAGTGGCCTCTTGATGTTCCAGAACTGAGACCTCAGCTCTAGCCTCTGATGAAGCTTAGATGTCAATGATGTATTGTCCTCTTGATGTTCCAGATGTGAAACCCCAGGTCCAGCCTCTGATGGAGCTCAGATGTCCACGAGTGGCCCTCATGATGTTTAAGATCTGAGAACCCAGCTCCAGTCTCCGATGAAGCTCAAATGTCCATGATGAGTGGCCACCTTCATGTTTCAGAACTGAGAACCCAGCTAAGTCTCCAGTGAAGCTCAGATGGCCACAGTGAGTGGCCCTTATGATGTTCCAGATATGAGATTCCAGCTCCAACTCCAGCCTCTGATGGAGATCAGATGTCCACGATGAGTGGCCCTCATGATGTTCCAGATCTGGGACCTCAGCTCTAGCCTCTGATTGAGCTCAGATGTCAACAATGAATGGCCCACTTGATGTTCCAGATCTGAGACTCCAGCTCCAGCCTTTTATGAAGCTCAAATGTCCATGATGAGTGGCCATCTCAATGTTTCAGAACTGAGACCCAGCTCCAGCCTCCAGTGAAGCTCAGATGTCCATGATGAATGGCCGTCATGATGTTCCAGAACTGAGACCCCAGCTCCACCTTCTGATGAAGCTCAGATGTCCATGATGAAGGGTCCACTTGATGTTCCAGATCTAAAATCCAATTCCAGCCTCTGATGGAGCTCAGATGTCCATCATGAGTGGCCCTCATGATGTTCCAGATCTGAGACCCCAGCTCCAGCCTCTAATTGAGCTCAGATGTCAGCAGTGAATGGCCCTCTTGATGTTCCAGAACTGAGATTCCAGCTCAAGTCTCCGATGAAGCTTTGATGCCCATGATGATGGCTCTGCTTGATGTTGTAAAGCTGAGACCTCAGCTCTGACTTCTGATGAAGCTAAGACGTCCATGATGAGGGGACCCTTGATGTTCTAGAGTCAAGATCCTAGCTCCAGCCTCCAAAGAAGTTGTGACATGCAGAACTGGTGACAAATCCTCAAAGCCATGGACTTGCTGTGAAGGTGTAGATGTGGCTGAGATTTGACTTGAGATCAGAGATGACAGAGGAGACTCTGCCCTTCACCCATGCCTTGTGGCCCTCCTCATTAGCATAATCGGAGGAGCTGGGTTCCAGATGCATAAGGAGACATGTGCCATGGAGACTCCTGGCAGGAGGAAGGGTGTTAAGAAGAGCATGGTAGCAGAAGTCAAGGATTGTGTCTGGGGAACTGCCTATAAAGCCTGCCCATGGGTGTGTATCTCAACAGCAAAGTACGGTTTTATGCCTTTTAGTTGTGCTAGACTCATGGCTGGCCACACACCAGCCTTGACTCATGGGGCTGCCAAGTTGGCTGGACCCTGGAATGTAACCCAAGCTCATTTCTGCGGCTTAGCTGCTCTGCCAGGGGAAGGTGCTAAACGCCCACTCGCCAGCCCGGCGTGAAGCTGAAGCCTTGGGGCTGGTCAGATCTGGTTGCCTCTTTCCAGCAACTGAAGTTTATTGAGGTTGGGACTGGGACAGGGCTGGACCATCATGATGGGCATGGAGATGGCATGGATGGCAAGGAGGCTCCCCAACTACATGGGGACAAGATGGCAGCTTTCCAGATGCAGCTGCACTTTAGGCTGGGACCTTGCCCTGAGCACCTTGACCATAACTGGGCTCCTTCAGGAACTTGGTTGATATCAGACTCTTTACTTAGTTGGAAAGAGATGACAATTAAAGAAATAAGGCCCAAAATATTGACTTGCTCAGAAACCATAGAACGTCATGGATGGACATTGAGGTGAAGCTATGAAAAGTGTCAACTTTGGGAGGAGAGACTGCTGGGTATTACTCTGGGCATGCTGACTCTGAAATCTCAAGATTTGATGGTTCTGAGAATCTGATATCATCAGTTATGCCATTAAGACACAGCTCCAATAATATACCCCAGAAACTGACATATTTTATGCAGTTGTTGTCTGCACGAAAGGGAGCAGCTAGCAAGAGTTTTTGAAAAAACAAAACAAAACAAAACGAACACATCTTGACGATGCCAGCATCATTTTGGTGATATTTCCTGGAAATTCATTAGAATTTGGAACTATGCACACAGAAACTTTTATGAGTAATTGGAACTCAAGACTTCAGATGGAATGAAGGAGAAATGTTTTAGAGGACTGCCTCACCCCACCACCACCCTCATTTGACCAAGTTATTTTTAGGAGAGTTCCAAGAACAAACAATTATTAGAATCACTCATTACTGATTTCCTAGAAGTCCAGACAACAAATTCAAAGCCAGATGCAAAACCGATGAGCCAGGTTTGTAATGTCTGTGAAGAACATGTGAAATTTGCTCCCTAAAGTCATTAGTTTCAGGGAGATAGGCTCAAAGTAGAATTGCAGTAGTGGCAGGAGGGATGGGTGGAGCCTCTAGATCACCAGGTAGCATCCCCTGACTTGAGTCAGAGAAATTGGAGATTATTATACAGCCCCTCTCAGGAAGGTCGTCAAACTCCAAGATGTTGGGGGAGTGTGCTAGGCACTGTGCTGAGACTCTGGGGGCAGAGATGAGTGCGATTCAGACCCTGGCCTCCAAGTGGGAAAGGTCAGATTCCAAATGGTCCTGCTATGCTCTCAGCATCGGGCCCATAGTGGTCTCCCAGTTCACTCCCCCATTTTACAGTTGAAGACACTGAGGCCGAGAGAAAGGTTGGTTCCTGATGTTCGTTAAGACCAGACCTCTCTCTGGAGGCCCTGGCACCACTATATCCTATCACAGCCTACAACTGATTTCACTGAGATTCAGGAAGACCCCGGAAGCCTGAGTGGATCACCTTCAGTCACCCATCAAGAGAGCAGAAATAGGAAGGCTTGGCTCCAGATCTCCCACCCCCTTGGGCAGAGTGACTTTGCTGGTACCCAGTGCCATGCTAGAAGACCAGACCACAAGGCGTAAGGATGCTCCGGGAGGAACTTCATCTAGGAATTCTGGGAATCAGGCCCAGCCATAATTCGTCTCCGACTCTCCCCTTCAGGGCCTCAGTTTCCCCACCACTCACTTTGTCTTTCTCCTGCTTGTTGGAGGGACATTCTCTGGTGGGAGTCACCACTCACACGTTGTAAGTAGCAGCCATTTGACTAAATGGATCAGTGGCAGGGAGAGTGGTGGTTACTGAGGGAGAGGAGGTCCTAGCCTTCTTCCTTCCCAGAAGGGACCAAGCTGGACCTCAGATTTCACTGACACTCCCAGTTCAGCCTTTAGGGAGCAGGGCACATTGATGCCCTGGCTGCACTTTTCCCCCCAGATGACTATAATTTTCCCCTTCCTGACCAGTGGCCGCCATTACCGAACTGTGGACTGGCGTGTGGTAGGGTCAGGTGTCTAGCAAAGCTTTCTCTCAAGCTCCCCTCACAGCAGCCACCTGGGAGGCAGTGCTCCTAATACTGCCCTCCCTGTGCTACTCAGGGGACATTTTGGGCTCTTCCCCCAGACCGCGGCACCCAGCTATCAAGTAGGGCCTCCAGGGAAGCCAGCCATGGGTGGGCGGAGGTGGCTTGGGCAGATGAGTGGGCAGCACAGTGGGGAGCAGGGCAGCAGCTAATTGGCAC